CAAAGTATGTATAAAAAATGTTTTTGTAGCCTGTAATAAATTTTAATTGTTTTTTTTTTTTTTCTTTTTTTTTTTGTTTTTTTTGTTTGTTTGTTTGAACGTTAGTTGGTTATTTTGAGAAAAAATGTTGTTGTATACACAAGTTTTTTCTCTTTCCTGTCTGTTATTTTCATTTGAAAACGAACGAATGAAAATAATCAAAAAAAAAAAAATAATATGGAACAAACGGCGGGGATTTTGTCGTATTCATTTAAACATGGTTCTCTGTTGTATTGTGAAGGGTTATAAGGGGTAGTAGAGTAAATAAAATTCATAGAGAAAAAAAAAACTCTGGTCGCGATACTTGGCAACGTCGCAAAGACTTGTTTTTACACAACCGAAAAAAAAAAAAAAACGGTCGACTGAAAACTTCCTACGCCCTTTCATTTTATTTTATTTTATTTTTTTTTTTTTTGCCCCTTATACTTATTCAACGGTTTCTTTCCTCTTCCTGTCAATTCACTCTAACGTTCCTCCTCTTTCCTCTCTTACTTTTTCACTTCGTCCATTTTTCTTTTTTTTTTTTTTCTCTCTCCAAAATATACTACAACAACACCCTTGCAAGGCCGCCACCAGTCAGTCTTTTACCCTCATTTTTTTTCTCTTCTTCCCCTTTTCCCTCTCTCTCTCTCTCTCTCTCTCTCTCTCTCTCTCTCACTCTCTCTCGTCCTTTCGTTCGAATTATAAAATGGGCAGAAAACAATTCCCATTCTTTCCTGTTTATCAATACCAAGGAAAAGGAGGTAAAATTAGAAAGAGGGGTGGTGGTGGTGTAGGAAAGTAAGGGATTGAAAAAAAAAGAAAATTTTTTTTATTAAAAATGGCGATTATACATATATATATTGATGATTTAATTTTTACGTAAAGAAACATTCAGGAGAGAGAGAGAGAGAAAGAGAGAGAGAACGTTGGATTTTTAGAACGATTAATGAAAAAAAGAATATTTCGGTCATTTTGTTCTCGTGTGAGAGGTAATATATATATATATATATAAAACAATGGGAAAATTTCTTTTCAACCACTATGGCGGCCGCCGCCATCATCATTTTATATTGAACAATAAATTTAAAAAAAAAAAAAAAAAAAAAAAAAGGAAAGAACCTTTTCATAATCACGTCTCTCTAAATCTAAATAATAGGATTCTTATTAAAAAAAAAAATTTTTAATTTTAATTTTTTTGAAAAGGCAAAAAGGTTATTAAAAAAATTTAAGGGTAAACGAAGAAGGTTGTCGACCGATTCAAATTATTATTATTATTATTATTTTTTTTTTGAATATTCAAAGAAGTTTATCATTATCATTATCATTATCATTATTATTATTTATCACTTGCACAAAATTTTTTTTATTATTTACACGAATATATTAAAAGCATGACGAAAAAAAAAAAAAAAAAAAAAAAAATTTGGGTACGTAGCTTTTGTTTGTTTAATATGTAATTTATTTAACGAACCGTGGCTCCGTCACACGAGCCCCCCCGACCGTGCCCCCGCTTGTGGCCCCCCCCCAGGAAATACATTCCGAAAAATTTGAATGTTTCGAATGGGAATTTAAAAAAGATTTTTTTATTTTTTTTGTTTTGAATATTCCTTTGCACTAAATTTGTTTTAAAAAAAAAAAAACTTTAAATTTTTGGGACAGTTGTCGTTGCCGTCGTTGTCGTCGTCGTCGTCGTCGTGGTAGTAGAATCAACGTTTACGAATAGTAAACGTGGCTGGCATAAGTCATGGAAACCCACAAAAAAAAATTTTTTTTAATTTTCAATCGATTTATTTTGTAGTTTTTTTTCGTTTTTTTTTTTTTTTTTTTTTTCCAACTTGGCAACGGAGTTTTGAAAATAATACTTGTACGTTTATTTAAAAAATATTGCTTATTCATCCTGTATTATTATTATTATTATTGTAGTTGTTTTTTTTTTCCTTTCTTTGCAAGAGAAATAAAAGAAAAAAATAATTTAATTTTAATTACTTTTTTTTTTTTTTTTTTGAAATATACCAAAAAGTTTTGTTGTTGTTGTTGTTTGCTTCGTAGTCTGCTTTTACGCAATATTGTAAAAAAGGAAATTGTTATTTTCGACTTTACTGTTTTTTTTCCCCTTAGTTTGTAATTATCGGTTTTTAAAATTTGTAAGTCGTATTTGCAAGTTTTCATCATGCAAATCTTTTACGGCCTCTGTTCAGGACGTATTTCAAAATAGAAAAAAAAAAAATCATTGAAAAGGTTTTAATAATGTTTTGTTAAGGTTTATTGTTATTATTATTATTATTATTATTATTATTATTAATTTTTTTAAAAAAATACTTGAGCGGTAAAGGTTTCGGGTATTTTCAAGAGCCGTGACCGAGGCCAAGTTCATAATAAGAACGAAAAAGAAGTAAGAGTAGGCAATTATTTATCTGAATGTTAGAGAGTAACTACTAGTAAGGGTTTGACGAAAATGAAAAAAAAAAAAAAAAAAAAAAAAATGCTTCATGGACGTTGGATTACAACGTTGCCGTTTCTTGCAAACTGTTATTTTTTTTTTTTAAAGTCAGAAAATAGAAATTTTTTTTTTTTTATTCAAAGAAGACTGAATTTCTCGTATGATAATAATGGGAAACTCGATCTATGAATTTTTTTTTTCAACTTTTTTTTTTTTACTTTTTACTTTTTTTTTTTTTTGTAAGTTGACTAGCTCATTTCACATGCTCAACATGCGACGCGACTCGCTACGTCGTATAATTTTTCTCTTTTTCCCTGTTTTTTTTTTTTTTTTTTTTTATTAAAAGACTCATTCGAACGTAAGCTAAGCACGGGTTCGATTTTGCAAACGTTTCAATTCACAGACGAATTAAGATTGGTTAAACATGGAACGCGCACTCAAGGTGTATTTTTCAACGTTGTCAAATTGTTAAATTATTATTACTTGAATTTTATTATTAAAGGTCGCGGTGATTTGGCAACTTTGCTTTTCAGTTTATATTCTTTTTAAAAACCATGATATAGGACTATAACATTTCTTGGAATTTTTTTTTTTTTTTTTTTTTTTTTTGTATATACGTATATGAACGTCTACTTGTACATATATGTATGTATATACACACACACATTTATATAATGTACGAGGACATCCGCTTGATGTAAGAGGGGGGAGGGGGAGAGCCCAGTTTTTATTCAAGGCTACGCGTTCTCATCTGAAAATATCCAAAAAAAAAAAAAAATTTGTTTTTGTTTTAAGGAGTAACGCAGACTACAAATTTTTTCAGGATTTTTTTTTTTTTTTCGTCTCCCGAGGTACTCTTTCGAAAAACAGTTTAAAAGCCATGTAAAACCATTATTGCAGATGTTTTTTTTTTTTTTTTTTTTTTTTAAAACATGAAAATATAACGATTTAATTTCGGGTTTTTTTCTTTTTAAAAAAAATGAGTAAAATGTATTTAAAATCCGCCATTACATGTTTTCATGTTTTTTTTTTTCAGGGGCAAAAGTTTTTTTTTTTTTTTTTTTTTTTTAATTTTAGCAACTTATCCGTCTTAATAAGTTTACATAAATGTACAAAAAAAAAAAAAATCAATATTTAAATTTTTTTTCAAATGGTTTCAGGAGTATTAAACCTCATTCATCATTGAATTACAAAATACATGGAAATTTTAATGAAAGAACAACCATTTTTTTTTTTTTATATTTGTTGCTGTTGTAGTTTTTTGTTTGAAAAAAATGGGAGAATGTGAATTTTACAAAAAAACAGAAAAAAATAGGTCTTTATTTCAAGGATCAGTTAGTTGTTAAATTAACACTTGAGCAGTAGCCCGATCATTATTATTATTATTATTATTATTATGGTTTTTTGACTTATTCATTGTTCTGTACATTGGTTAGAATTTGTATTCAAAACGACTAGCGTGTGTGTGTGTGTTATTGTTGTTTGAATAATTGTATTATTGCAACGAAAATGTCAAAAAATAATACTCCCTCCTCCTCCTCTCCCCCCCCCCCCAAAAAAAAATGGCTTTTTTGGTAATTCTTCCACTCTTTTCTCTTGCTGAAATGAAATTTCCAAATAATACCTGAATTTTTTTACAAATGGTACGTTTATTACAATTGTTCATCGCGATGGACTCTATGGCTAAGATGGAGAGTCAGTCATTAGTACGCCGTGACCATTTAAACGGTTTTTGTTTATAAGTACCAACGTTTGAAAAAAAAAAAAAAAAAAGAAAGCAAATTAGCATTTTAAATATGTTGTTTTCATTGAAACGTTTTTTTTTTTTTTTTAAATAATAAATTGTTAATATTATTATTATTATTATTATTACTTTTAGTTTTGGCCACGACAGAAAAAAAAAATATTTGAATTTTTTCTGTTAAGCTAACCATTAGATTGATTTTGTCTTCCCCGCTGCGTCGATGGGGACGATTCTCCTCCATATTTTCTTGTTTACCAGATAAATTATATTGCGAAATTGAAATTATATTAGGCAAGCAATTCTAAGGTCATGATTATCTCTCTCTCTCTCTCTCTCTCTCTGTTTGGTTGACAATTTTTTTTTTTCTATTGGTAACATTTTTTTTTTTTTTTTTTTTTTCCCCGGGGTCCCACTCCGACTTGTTTTATTATTAAATTGAGCAATAGACTTTTTTTTTTTTTTTTTTTTTTTTTGGTAAGGAATTGAAAAAAATATGGTATCTCCCATAAAAAAATTATTTCAAACGATGGTTTTCTTAAAAAAAAAAAGAATGTTTTTAATTGTTGTTGAAGTTTGATGATTGAACAGTTTAGTTCAGTAGTTTTTTTTTACATTTTAAAATTTTTGACCTCTTTAGTACTCTCGAAACATGGTCCGAATTCGGATGTAGGCTTTGTCACAGCCTTTTTCGATCGTTTTGTTAAATCACCAAAAAATGAAAAATAGTAATAATAATAATAGTTATATTCATGTTTGTGTTTCGTATTTAAAGAATTTATTATTATTATTATTATCATGGTTGTAATTTTTTTTTTTTTTTTTTTTTCAAGGACAAATTCTCAACCGGCGGATACATCCCCGTACAAACCGCAGAGAGGATCGACAGCAGCGCCTTCTCCCGCCTCTCCTGGTACCCGACAGCCAAATGCTTATACGCCTTACCAGTCCGGAACTGCTCCCGTCAGTCGCGAGGCTCAAGCCATGCGATATCTTCAATCTTCGCCTTACACAGCACCAGTTCCGTATCGGGATGTACCTAGTCCTTACAGGTCTCAGGTAAGCTATATATATATATCTGTAATTAATCTTATATACGACCGACCACTAGTCAGAGTATCTAAATTATGTTTTCTCATACGAATAGTGTATGAGTGTGTGACGATAAAGCTCAGGCGCTTTATAGCGTAAATGGCGGCGGCGTCGTCGTAGCGTTCGGCTACGGAAGGTTTATTGCCTGGATATCTAATCTCGGAATTTATTGTTTAATGTAGAAAAGTCTAAATTAACCAAGTTTAAGAGTTTTATCAGTTAATGATGAAGGGGAGAGGTCTTGCATGGGCATGGGATGGATGATGAGAAGAATTAATCGTCTGCATTTAGTTTTTATTACTTTTAAAATAGCTGCTCTTTACATTGTTTTATTGCTAGCCAAACTATTTAAAAAAAAAAAGGAAAAAAAGCTCACCTCAATTATTACACGTTTACAAAAAATAAGGTGCAAAAGGAGGAGGAGGAGGAGGAGGGGGGGCAAAAAAAAAGCTTTAATTTATTCGAAATTTAAATTTTTTTTTTTTTTTTTTTTTGTAATTTCTTAACTGCATATATTATTATTATTACTTTACTTTTGTTAGAAAAAAAAAAAAAAGAAGGAATTTATAGCGTGAATATGAAACATCATGACCTTTTTTAGAATTCACTGTTTTCCGCTATTAAGTGCCGCCTTACGTTTCAAATGTTTTCTATTCCCAATACCGAAAATGATTTCAAAAAATGAATGTCCTTGAAATAATAATAATAATAATGGGCGGGAGAAACAAAAGGTTGTGTTTAGGTGTGAAAACTAGCAGGTATATTTCTGGATAAGTTCATTATCATTCATTTTTCTTGAGTTTAAAAAAAGGAAATAAGAACTAATATATATATATATATATATATATATATATAAATTCTGTTTAGTACCTGTATGCTTTCCATCTTGAAGCTTGAACAAGTAATAATATATATTTTTTACCAAAGCATTTTTCACGGGGGGAGGGGAGGGGAGGGGAGGGGAGGAAAAATGATTAAATTTACAGTAATTTTAGTTGAACCGTTTTTTTTTTTTTTTTTTTGAACTATAAAATTTATTTATTTATTTATTTATTTTTCAGACGGGCCCTCCAGAGCCACGAAGTAACACTCCCCAAGTAGAACTCTTAAACTTACGACCGGGGGAGAGGCCTAGGATATCTTTGCTACCTGCTACTCAAGATTATATTACAAATATCCCCAGGACATCATGCAGAGACGACCTAGTATCTGTCAGGGTTTGTATTTTATTCAACAAATTTCAAATGAAAAAAAAAAAAAAAAATCTGTCAAGAATGAGAGAGTATATTTATTTTATTGTGAAAAAAAACATTATTATTATTATTATTATTATTATGGTAATTTATTTATGCTTTGATTTCCTGTCACTAAGTGATGGGTTTAAATATATATATATATATATATATATATTGAAAATTATTTATTTTTGGAAATTTTTCATAATAATAATAATAATAATTGTCAATTTATTTTTACAAATTATGCATTTCATTTATTTATATATAAATATTATATTCTTTGAATTGAAAATGTAATCATATAAGATGAAAAGAAATTAATTTTTTTATTTATTATTATTTTAGGTGGCTGTTTCTCAGCAACCATCTGCTGTTACTGTATCTCCTCAGCAAGATGTCGGTCAGCCTTTTAAAAAAATTCGTCTTGGTGAAGCAAAACCTGATCTCCAACAACCTCTTCGTATAGATGTTAGGGTAAAGTTTTTTAAATTTTAACTTGAGTTGCACGTGTAAATAATTTCAGGTTATCTTTAAGGACAATGTTATTAAACTTCCAAATTTTCCTTTTAGGAATCACCTACAGTTTATACGCCACAAGTTGAAGCTATTTCTCCAACTCTTCCATCCGAAGACATAGCACTCCGTGCCACAAAAGAAGATTTACTACAACAGATAAATAAAGTAGATAGAGAAATAGCTAAAACCGAACAGCAAATATTTAAATTGAAGAGCAAGCAAAGAGAACTCGAGGAAGCTGCTTCCAAGCCGGTTGCTAAAAAAGAGGAAAAGGAAACGGAACAGCCGAAACATCAAAGTCCAGCGCAGAAAATATATGCGGAAAATAGAGTAGGAAGACCCCCCCCCTTTTTTTTTTTTTTTTATTTAAAAAACTTGAAAGATAAAATGATTGGTTTTGTAATTTAGTTGTACTGATTTTTTTGTTGTTTTTGTTTCGTTTTAGAAAAAGGCTCAAGAAGCTCATTCGTTATTAGATAAATTAGGGCCAAAAGTTGAAGTGCCGCTATATAATCAACCATCCGACACTAACGTGTATCACGAAAATAAGAGACGCCATTTAAATTTTAAAAAATGTTTAATAGACTATTTGAAACAGCAGGCAGCTGAAAAACAATCGTATGATAAATTTTTAACGCTTACCTACAGCAAACTTATGTCAGAATGGCTTAGGAAGGTTGATAAGGTAAAAACAATTGATAAGAAATTTAATGTTTCTCAATTTGTTTTCCTATTTTTAATTTTAAACTTTTGACCCTTGAAACGTTTCTCTTGTATTTTCGAACAGATTGAAAATTCGGCTAAACGAAAAGCAAAAGAGGCCAAAAATAGAGAATTTTTCGAAAAGGTATTTCCTGAATTGCGTAAGCAACGAGAGGATAAGGAAAGATTTAACAGAGTGGGGGCAAGAATTAAATCGGAAGCTGATTTAGAAGAAATAATGGATGGCTTACAAGAGCAAGAGGTAATTTAATGTTTTAACGGTTTTTGACTTTAACTTTGCACTTGAATCTACCTTATAAATATATATATAATAATTAAATTTTTAAGTAACAAAATAAAATATTTGACATTAATCAAATATTCCAGTCATATTTATCTGTATTAATTTTTTTTTTTTTTTTTTTTTTTTTTTTTTAGATGGAAGACAAAAAAATGCGTTCATATGCTGTGATACCTCCAATTTTATTGGATTCTCGGCAAAGAAAGTTAAAATATGTTAATAATAATGGAAAGTTGGAAGATTTCAGTAGGGAATATAAAGAAAGACAATTGTTAAATTTTTGGACAACTGCGGAACACGAAGTTTTCAAGGAAAAGTATTTGCAGCATCCGAAAAATTTTGGTTTGATTGCAAGTTACCTTGATCGAAAAAGTGTTTGCGATTGCGTTCAAAGGTAAATATTTAAGGTTTATATAAAAAAGTTCAATTTGGTAGAGCGTATAAACGATTTTTTTTTTTTTTTTTTATTCTCCAAAGATTTTATCTAATTCGTGTGTGCGCGTTTCAGGTATTATCACTCTAAGAAGCAAGAAAATTATAAACAGTTGCTGAGAAAGTCGCGACACGGAAGAACGCGGTCAAGCAGAAATAATCCAAACGCGAAGGTGAATAACTCCTCGTCATCTTCTGCCACGACGTTGGTGGACGCGGTACTCTCTACCACGGGCGTCACGACTCGGCTTCAAAGGGAACAATTGCAAAAGCAAGAGCCGAAGGAAACAACGAATCATGTGATTTTAAGTGATAGTATAATATGTAGTGGGTCTAGTTTAATGATAAATACAACATCGTCTGCTGCAGTTGTAACAAGTGTTAGCTCAAATACGGTAACATATACAAACAGTAATAGTAGTGCCAATAAAGAACCGGACAAAGATGTTAATACTACAAGTACTACTACTTCTACCATAAGTGCATCGACTGCCGCTTCGACTAATACGGAAAATAAGGAAAATTCTGTTAAAATTAGGTTGGTAAAAAAACGTTACTCTTAATTCTAATTAATAAATATATATTATTCAGTGACGTAGGCAGACAAACACAACAGCTCCATCGATATTTAAAATTATAAATGTTACACGTTGTATCAGGTTGAAAAAATTTTGTACAGAGGTCTCTTTCTCTCTCTTCATATCGGATAATGTTTAAGGAATTTTTTTCTGTACATTTGATATATATATTTTATTTATTTTATTTTAAAAGAATAAGAATTTTCCTAATGACAAGTAATGGCAAAAAGTAAAAACTTTGGAAAGTAATAACAAAATGGTTGGTTGTTAAACTGGTTGAGGAATTTGAGGGACACTCGAAAATATACAAAAAATTTTTAATTAATTAATAATTTTTTAACTCATAAAATTAATTAATAAATGCAATGTTGAATGATATCACTGATGATATTTTAAAAATTAAATAATAATATGTTTTGTTTTGCTTTATAGTGACACTAAAGTGGAAAACAAAAAGGAAAAAAGGAGAAAAGGGGATAAGAAAAAGGAAGAATTGGAAACATCTGATGAAGAATTAGGAGAATCTGTTAGTAAGTAAAAAAAAAAAAAAAAAAAATGTTTCTAATATTTAATATTTATCGTTTAAAAAACGCGGTTTATCGGTGTATCACGTGATTTGGGTTGAAAAATGGTGGAAGGAAAAAACAAAAAGAGAAAGCGGTGGAATCGCATAAAATAATTTGTGTTTATTTATTACTGAAATCGAGATTACTCTTCTACATTTTTATAAATGAAGAAAAAAAAAAAGTATTCACTTGGAAAACATTTAGTGCACGATTAATCCAAACTATTTTAAAGAATGGAAAATTCTTTTCCTCGAATCAGGATCATTAAAAGTTATTTTCTTCTACTGTACTACTACGTTTCATTAAAGTTGATGATGATGATGATGATGATAAGCAAGGAGGTGCCGGGGAAGAAGACGACGACAATGAATGTGACATTGAGGAAAACGATGACGATGTTGATGTTGATGTTGATGATGAGGATGTTGGTGACGGAGATGACGGAGATGAAGATGATGATGATGATGATGATGAAGAGTCAGACAATGGCGGATGAATGCTATTATCATCTTCGAAATTTTCTTCGTTGGCGTGACACATTTTTCTATGTTTATGAACGAAATAATAGCTGGGAAATTTACTTCCGCATGTTTTACACGGATAATATTGAACGTTCATATCCAGAAGCCTTACTTCTCGACGACCGTTGCTTTGTTTTTCCTTTCCCTCTGATTTTGTCGTCGTCGTCGTCGTCGTCGTTGTCGTGTTGGAAACGATTTTCCGGAAAATGACTACTTTCTTATTCAATTCTTCAGATTGTACGGAATTGATGTGTCTTTTGGCGTGTTTCTGGTAGCAGTATTGACTTTTGAATGTGTGTTTGCAATAAACGCACGTGTATGATCTTTCCGTATTATTATCATCCTCATCATTTTTGGAACCCTGTCGCACGCTCTCTCCGACCGGATTATGATCCGAGAAATTTTTTTCGACAATTTTTCTCATTTGTATGACTCCCCTCGAAGATGATTTTGATTTTTTAAGCAGAGTCGAATTCATCATTTGTTGTTGTATGTAAGAATTGAAATCCGCGGATTTTAATAATTTCGTGTTGCAATGTTGAGTTTTCGGATAATTATCTAGATATTCTTTTTCCGCAACTTTGTCCAAATCTTTTTTCACTTTGTCCACCGCATCCACCCCCGTGGACGTTTCGTCTAAAATTTCATCGATGCTCATTCCGTAGTTTTCATTTAAAACTCTGTGAAATCGTATGGGGCCATCGCAACACGCTACGTCGTATTCAACAATTTTTAAATTTTCGTTGTTGGCTCTTTTATAATTTTTCGGACTCTCTTTTCTCCTGTGAAATTTTTTAAACGATGGCTTATTAGCATGGATGGTACCCTCATCGCACGTTAAATTTTGATTAGAAAAATCGGGCGATAGCGGTAAGGAATCGGTCGATTCGATGTCTTTGCTCGTGGATGGTACAGCCGGAGGAGGAGAAGAGAACATCTTCGCATCTTGATCGGAAGAAAACGTTTTTTTCGCTTTCGAAGATGAAACGCATTGAAAAGGACCATCCGGTCTCGTTTGAAGCATGAGACGTGGCAAATTAACCGGCGACCATATAGATTGATTGAAAGTGTGGATTTTCCGACTGGGAATGGGTTTTATGACGTTGCGATTGTTTTGCGTATTGTACAAAGCGTTGTTTTGCGATTCCACCACCGGAGGTTGTTGAATTTCAGGTTGACTTTGAACCAAATAAGCTCGACACAAATCTAATGCCCGGGGCATGTGAAGTAAATGAGTTGCCAAAAGAACCGAGTAAATGTTTTCACTCGTCAAATCCAAATAACCGGTGTACATAAACGAAAGGAGGAGTGCAAAACTTTCCGAGGAGACGTTCGGCACGGAAATGTTCGTGATGGCGGTGGCGGCGGCGGCGGCGGTCATGCCGCAGTCGTTTGATTCGTTTTGAATGAGAGATTTTAAGTATCCACTGTGGATTGATACGAGGTGTTTGTGTGCCACGAATTGATATCCGTATCCTCTTGTATCGTCCTGATAATCTCCATTCGAATTGCCCACCGTTATTATGAGGTCGGGTGGTGTCGTCCAACTTGCAACTGCCATCGCATCTCTCATCAACCAAGCTCGATATAAGGAATACATAGTTTTTATTAATGAATCGACACAAGAAAAATAATAAATTTCAACAGGTTTTTTTTTTTTTTTTTTTTTTTGCGATAAAATTATTCACATCACGTAACCATTATTATTATTATTATTATTATTTTTTCTTCTTCTAAATCTCGAACGTTTTTCAATTAAATTTATTTATTTATTTAAAAAAAAAAATTAATAAAAACACGCGAGAGATGTATGTAACATTCTAACCGTTGATTATATCTCCACACGGCGGTTACACGTTCGAAAGCGAAGAGCATGAAATGTGGCAATAAATAATTGCTGCTGTGAAATTGTAGGAAAATTCATATTTTTTTTTTAGAGAGAGAGAGAGAGGGGGAGAGAGAAAGAAAATTTTTATTCTAAGATGAACGGTTATATTTAACGTTTTCCGTTTGAGTTTCGATGGTTATTCTGCGCTGTAGTTTATAACCGCTGCGGTGCAAAATCAACGGTGTGTATAAGTTAAACATAATGGAAAATTTTTATTCGACTCGAGAAAAATCTGTTTAGTTAATAATTTTTATTAGCGTTTACAATTATTATTATTATTATTCTGTTAGACATTATTATTATTATTATTATTTTTTTTTTTATTTCGATTGAAATTAAATGGGATTTTTTTTTTTGACTTTTTATGGGGAGAAAAAAAAAATACGGTTTTGCCGCACTTAAGGTTTTTATCATCATCATTATCATCATCATCATCATCATCATTATTATTATTATTATTATTATTATTATTATCTTTTTCTTATTAGTTTTGTTTAAAATGAATTTTCTAGTTTTATTTTACTAGTAGATTTACTATAATAATTAATTTTTCGCGGTTTTTTTTTCGTCTCTCTCTCTCTCTCTCTCTCTCTTTCTCTCTTTTCTTACATTCGTTTTATACATTTTCCGAAAAGAAAAATTTATATGGGAGGCTGAGGGGTATGGAGAATAAAAAAAAACGGGTTAAGAAAACGAGCTTATAATTTTTTTTTTTTTCTTTTTCTTTTTTTTTTTATTCTTATTTTAATTTTCTTTAGAAGCATTTCGGTTGAATAATCAGACGATTCATTAAATTTTTATTTAATAAGATTGAAGTAACGAAAAAAAAAAGGAGAGAGAGAGAGAGAGAAGGAAGAAGAACTAGTAGGAGATGATGAAAAAGAAAAGGTGGAAAATAAGGAAATGAAAAGAGAGGGATAGATAGATAGAGCGGAGAAAGGGAGGGGGGGTAGAGAGAGAGAGAGAAAAAGATGATTCTGTGTGTACACACCTCCTCCCTCTTTTTTTTCTTTTTCTTCTGCTTTTCTTTTCGGTTTCATTTAATTAAAAAGAAATCTTTTTGTTTTTAATAATGAGAAGAAAAAAAAAATTATTATTATTATTATTTTTTTTTTCTCTTCTTCTTCTTTCCGTCTCCCTTCGAGCTAATTAAATGATCATTATTTTGAAGGAGTTACGTTTCGACTCCTCCCGGGGCTAATTATTCATATCATTAAAAAAAAAAAAAAAAAAAAAAAATTATTTTTATTTTATTTTATTTTTTTGCTTTATTTATGTATATTTATTTTCTCATGAGTTTACATGACTTTGGGACATATTTCGCTGACCAAATGATTACAAAACCTCGTGTTTTGCAAAAGTTTTCCGAATGAATGATATTTTCCCGGTGATTATGAGTAAGAGGAGGTTAGGTTGTTGATTCGTAGAATAAAATGTATGTATGTATGGGTATGCGATTGAAAAGGAATCAAATGAAATTTTTCCTCCGCTACCTCTTCCTCTTCATCTTCTTCTCCCCCTCATCTTCTTTTCCTTTTTCTGAATTTTGTCGATCGAATGATGAAATTAAATAAATAAAATAAAATAAAAGAAAATAAAAAAATACGCGAACGGTTATGTAAATTATAAAAAATAAAAAAGAGAGAAGGAGGGGGAAGGAGAGAGAGAGAAAGGGGGGGGGACAAACGAAGGAAGGATTGAATTTTTTGAAGTGGAAAAAAAATTTTTTTTTTTTTTTTTTTTTTTCCTCCATGTTGCTTACGATTGTCCCACGGGAGGTAAAAATGGCGGTTCTCTCTTGACGTATATATATAAAAAAAAAATAAAAATTAAATATAAATAAATAAATAAATAAAAATATTTATAAATGTTTAGTTATAAATTTTTTTAAAAAATGAAAACGTTATAATTTTATCATCATCATCATTTTTTGTTTGTTTTATTTTTTTTTTTGTATTTTGTTTGTTTGTTTGTTAAAGAAATTCGGGTTTGACTGACTTACGTTGGAAAATGGTGCGTGCGTTCCATTTGTGAAATAAGTCAATATAAATGATTTCGAAAATTCTTTTGATGATTTTTCCCAAGCACATTTTTTGATGGAACGGTTTCCGAATGGTTTGAATGATCGTTATTATTATTATTATTTACCCACCCCATTTTACCCCACATCCCGATCTCCTCTCTCTGTATCGCGTTGTTGTCGTTTTTTTTTTTTTTTTTTTCTAAGGAAAATGGAGAAAAGTATAATTGGTATAATGGAATTCAAATATTAATGAGGGGTTTAGTTACCGCAAAAGAAGGAATAAACAAACAAACGAACAAACAAGGAAACGGATTGTTTGTTTTGAAAGCTTTAAGTTTGATTGTTTCGGCGGCGACTCTGACATTGTTCGTTTGATATGCGAGATAATTTTAAATGAAATTAGTTTTTTTTTTTTTTTTTTTTTTAAGGTTTTTACACTCTCTGTCTCTGTCTCTCTGTTCGTTCTTCAATTTTTTAGAAATAATTAAATTGCAGTGTTTGTTTGTTTGCTTGTTTGTTTGTTTGCTTGTTTGTTTGTTTGTCATGTTCAAAATGAAACATGGTCGTATAATTTCTAAGTTTATGTTAATCGTCGAATGCGAATCGAGACTTTGGTGGAACGAATAGCACACGTCTTATTTGAAATTTAATTTATTATTATTATTATTATCATTATCATTATCATTATCATTATTATTTATTTAATGTGAAATGTTTCGTTTTGACGTGACGTCAGATTCACGATTCTGATCGATCGAGGTTTTCCAAAAAAAATACATTTTTTTTGTTTGTCGTTTGCACTATAAAAACTGGATTCGAAATTCAGAGGAAGAGGAGGATAGAGGGGAAGGCGTGTGTGTGAGAGAGATAGAGAGAGGGTTTATTAGTGTCGTACATGTAATTAATTATTTAATTAATTAATTAGTCTATTTGGAAAATTAACGTGATCTCTAAAGTGTTAATTAGTATTTTAAACACAAATTTTATATTAAATAGAAAATTTTTTTTGTCACCGTGTGTTTGTTGTTGTTGTTGTTGTTGTTGTTTTGATCTCACTGGAGGATATTCAAACTTTGGAAATTATTAATTGAACGAACGAACGAAATTAATCTCGTTGCTTTAATTTTCCGGGGGGAGAAGGGGAGGAGGGGAGGAAAGGGAAAGAAATTTTAATTTTATTTCAATTGAAAACAGAATGATGATGATGATGATTGAAAAACTAGTGGAAATCATTTTAGAATTTTACAATTTTTATACAAACTAATGACGAAAAAAAGAATAGAAAAGAAAAGAAAAGAAAAAGAAAAGGAAAAAGAAAGAAAATTAACTGTAATTTGATTGCACGCTTTAATTTAAAAAGAAAAAAAAAGAAAATCATTTTTGTACAATATTATTTTTTCATACTGACTCTCTCTTTCTCTCTCTCTCTCTCTCGTCGTCATCGTCTGTTTGAAATTTCTATCTCTTTCTCTTTTGATATTTTTTTCCATCTCTTTTTACTTCTCCTCATCTCTGTCTGTTTGCCTTAAACAAACATTAAAACTCGAATTAATTAAAGAGAAAGAGATGATGATGATGATGATGAGGAGATTAAGACTAATAATTTCAACCAATTATATTACTTTTGTATATATATATATATATATATATTTGAATGTCTATTCCTTCCTTAAAGTTTTTTTTTTTTTTTATTTTAATTTTTAATTTCCCCCTCCCCTTTTCAACCCCCTCCCCCTTCCTTTGATGTTTAGTCTTGTTATTAAAAAAAAATATGTACGTGTTGTAATAAGATTTTCCGCGACAGGTTTTTTTTTTTTTTTTTTTTTTTTGCTGAAATTTTCAACGGTAAAGTCGTTGATGATTATTAATTAATTAATTATAGTAAAAGCTAAAAGAGTTTAGGTCTCGAGTAGAATTTTTTGCTGTTGTTTAACGTGACTTGACATCAGCAAAACGATTAACCGCCTTTTTTGTTTTGTTTTTGTTTGTTTGCTTTGGAAAATGCTATTTTGGCAATTTGTTGTAAAATGTATATATATATATATAAACCGAGGGTGAAAGAGGAGGAGGGGGGTTGTGTGTAGCAGGTTGTTTGTTTGGTTGTTTGGTTGGTTTGGGGTGGAAAAAGGAGAGATGCATGTGGAGATTTTAAAATGTATTTTGTACAATTTTGACTTATTGCTGATGAAAACGTTTTTTATTATTAAGTTATTAAATAAATTATTACGGGGTGGGAAGGGTGAGGAGGGGAGGGGAGGGGAGGGACAGGGGGAAAGGGAATTGATTGTTTCTCTCTCTCTCTCTCTCTTTTCCAAAATTATTTTTTTTAATTTATTTAAATTTTAACCAAATCGCGAATAAATTTAAAACGCTGATCTGATGAACCTTTTTTTTTTTTTTAGGGTTTTTGAAATTTTTGTAATTATTTATTTATTATTATTATTATTATTTATAAACAGGCACAAAAACAATTTGTAATATTAATTTCATATATTTAATAGAAACGTAGTAAAAAAAAAAAATGAAAAATAATTGTTTTGACGCAAATGGAAACAAACCCATTAAAACAATTGAATAAAGATATCATCATCATCATCATCATCATCATCGTCGTTCCTTTGTTGAACATATGCAAATCAAATTAAAGTGCCTAGGAAGGAGTTGTGGAAGGGGGCGGGGTCGGGGGCGGTATGATGAGGGAGGAGGAGGAGGAGGAGGTTAATAATTGGTGACGGCCTCTGGGGAGGTTGTTAACCGTTCTTGAAGCAAACAAAGGGTGAAGTTGTAGCGGGAATGCGGCAATTTCCCTTTTGTGTTTAATCAATTTAATTATTATATTATCTTTTTATGTACCTTAGGAGAAAAAAATTTTACATTTTTTTTAGGGAAAAAGTAAAATTATGGTTTAAAAAAAAGAAAAATGTTTTCACTTTTTCAATTAAATTTAATATAAAAGAATTTAATGCTGGGGAAAAAAAATTTTTTTTTTTTTTTTTTAGTTTTTGCATATGTTGTGTTAGGGTGTTATTTTATATATTTTAGTGTTTGTTAAGATTAATTAAGATTAAGATTAGGATTAGGATTAAGGACGAGTTGTCATAAGTTTACAATTACAAAAAAAAAAAAATTTTTTAATTTGTAACGAATGCATCTAATATTCACTAATATTCACTATTGGTACTTGATCTATCTTTAAACTTGGATTTTCAAGTCGATATTATTATTATTATTATTATTATTATTATTATTATTATTTTGTTGTAGTAATACATTATGATTAATCGTAGGGATTTAATAAAGATTTGAAAGTGTTGATGATATCAATGTGTGTGTGTGTGTGTGTGTCAAAGTAAATTTGTTTGTTATGTTTGATCGTCGAAACATTAATAACCAAGCTTAAATATTCGTTTATAATGCTTGAATATATATATATATATATATTAAGCATTAGTGATCGTTTATTATTAATTCCTTGTTTTTTTTTTTTTTTTGGGAATTTCCTTTCATTGTAAAGGATATTAAATTTAATTCGTTTTGAATTCCAGGTGAAAAAGGTGGATCTCATCCATGTGTCGTTTGCAAAGCAACTATAGAAACTTTTACGCATTCAAGACCCCTGCCACAAACACATGCTTCGGAGTACGGATTAGCGGAAAGTGATATTCCCCCCGGGGGAAGGGTTTGTAATACGTGCAGATGTAAGGCTGTGCGATCCCGTTGCACCACGTGTCCTTTACCCACGTGTCCGAATTCAAAAGGACGAATTAAACGTTTAAGAGCCCTTCCAAGCAAATGGTCTGAACTTTCGGCCGAAGTGAAAGATCCCATAATTGCTGAATTCCGTGAGTTAAAATTTTATTTATAAAAAAAAATTTAATAAATTTTCATACTTTATTAAAAATGTATATTTTTAAGCTTTCGATATATATATATATATATTTTTTTTGTAGAAATACCACCCAATTTAACGAAATGTTGTTCAGCTTGTTTTAATCGCATTTCGCGAAGACTCACTCCCCACATTGCGACGGAAGAGGAAACGTTGCGTTGGACGGAAGAAGAAACGGAAGCTTTGAAACGGGGTTTAAAGGAATATGGAATTTCATGGTCGAAAATAGCTGAAAAAGTCGGTAGTAAAACTCATCATCAGTGTAAAAGCTTTTATTTTAATTGTCGGAAAAAATTGGGTCTCGATTTGTTAGTTCAAGAATATAACAAAGTAAATCTTTCAATCGTTTTAAGTGTGATCGAATATTTTGAAATATTTTTTAACGGAAATTTAATTTTTTTTTTTTTTTTAATGTGTAATTTAAAACAGGCACATTTGGGAGAGGATCGAAAACCGGCTGTTACCGATGAAGAAGAAAGCGGTTCATCCACGTCTAGTTGCGATGAAATGCCAGCAGGAAATCACGATTCGAGTGACACTGCCAGTGCCTGCAGTCCGAATAGAGGAACTGATGCTTTATCAGTTCCTGCTGGCAAAGATGAAACGACAGTTTTGAGACCTCCGGAACCGCAAGTGACTAACGAACCACGGCCGGAAAAAGATTACGATAGTTCTGCTACGGTAAGTTTACCCATTTTTTATTTAATAGTTTGTTCTCATACAAATTTTACCTACCAAAAAGAATTTAGTAGGTAAATTTAGTCGTTTGTGTTGATATTTAATTGTGATTTTATAATGAAATACAAAAAAAAGGGCTTAGAAGAGAGTTGAAAAATACATTTATTGCAGCATTGTTTCCAGGAGACGGCTGATGAGGGACAGGGTGGCGGGGAAAGTGAAAACACGTATCCCCATCTACCCGGCACCTCTATCACAGCTGTCCCTTCCACCGGACACCAGCAACAACAAAACGGACCGATTCCGAGTCCTCCTCGTACTGTAAAAGATTTAATGGCAAATGTAATTGAAAAGTCTTTAATGAAAACTCCGGGAGTTACTGTTTCGTGCTCTGCACCTCCAACTATATCTTCCATATTGAAATCCAACCACAAAGATTTATCGTTCGTGAAAAGATCAGGATCTGATTCTTTGGCGACTCTTTCAGTAAGAAAATCAATCTTTTTTTTCTTTCTTTTTTTTTTTTGGAATGCAAATAAATGCATTAAATTGTTTATTCATTTTCAGATTGTAAATTCGCATGACAGAAATCAAGAGTCGTCACTGTCGCCAAATATAGTTAATCAAAGTTCAGATCTCCCGAAGGAAGGTATTGTCGTCGTTCAGGTTCAGCAGGCACTGAAAGAACGGCGTGAACCCGAACCTGAAACTTTAGATTTGTCTATTAAAAAGAGAGATTGTCCTAGCGGATATCAAAATTCTCCATCCCATCATTTTAATATTCCTCCTCTTTGTAAAGGTTAGTTTATTTATTTATTTATTTATTTTTTTTTAAATTTTCCTAAAATGTTATTAATTACTTATTTTTAATAAAAATTAAAACGATATTATTTATTGTCATTAGGCGGTGCAAGTGTATATCCAAGAGTCGGAGAACAACAGCAACATTATTACCATCATTCTCATCAAGTTTCCGATCAGAATAGGAGTATATCAAAATCTCCTTCTGTATTTTCATCTTCGTCTGTTACTCCTCACTTGGTTATGTCCCCCCACACGAGGCAACCGCATTCTAAAATAGCCAAGGTATTTTATAAAAAAAAACTTTTATAAAGGGCTGTTTGTTGTATGTAATATTTGTGAGTGTTTTAATATTAATCATAATTTTTTTCAGTCTCCATTACCAACAATGCAATCCAAATTATCTCCTAAGCTTGTATCGGGTCCACCAGGTGGTAAAGGAGGTTCTATAACACACGGAACACCATTGCAGGGAGGACCGCGATATGAAGGGCTACTTCGTCAAATGCCACCTCAACAGCAGACGCATAAGGAAGGAGGGTTAGTATTGTTTGCTAGTGTTTCAATTAGAAAAAAGATATTTGCTACTGAATGAAATTTGCCCTTTTCAGATCAATTACCCAAGGAACTCCGGTTCACCATGGATCTCATTTAGGGCCTAACGACAAGAGACAACCGCTCAGCTACGAGTACTTTAAAAGAAGTTCTCCGGCTGGTAATCCAAGCCCAAATAATCCTGGTCAACCAGTTTCGTCTGCTTACCCTTACGGATCATCTCCAAGTCAATCATCTGCTTCATCCGCTTTTAATTCACCGTATCCTACAAATCCAACCCGGCAACCTACATCATATCCTATTGAACAACAACTCTCTTCACGACAAATTATTATGAGCGACTATATCACCTCACAACAGGTATTTATAAAAAGGACTTCATATTGTAAAAAACGGAGTTACATTCTACAACGTTTGATATCCAATTTTTTAGATGCATGGACAAAGAAGAGTTGCACTTTCCGGCAATGAAAAACAAGATTCCCCTTCACCTCGAGGCGGAGTAGGTATTTCATCTCCCATGTATTATAATTCTCCGCCGGGAGGAATGTACTTGCCTAGCAGATCCCCAGTCGATAGTCCAACTCCTCCTCCTTTAAGACAAGGAGTCATTCAACGACATAATACCATCCCTACTTCTCAGGTATTCCCCCTTTTTTCTTTAACCTATATGAGTTCATGAGGTTAAAAATAAAATGTAAACGAGTTAATTTATTTTTGTATTTTTAAAAGGGTCAACCTAGACCTCCCAGTGGAGGAAATACTGCTGGTAAGCCTCATTACCCGCCACCGGGACATGAAGCCTTTAGTTCATTAGTTGAAGCAGCAGTTCAACAACCTTCCCTCCCTGTTCCATCTGTAGAAAAACGTACTCATGCGTCGGAAAAACCTTTTATAAGTCATAGAGAGGTAAAATCGTTATGAATAACTTTATTTTTTAAATAATTAATTAATTATATATTGAAAAATTTATTTAAAAATTTTTTATTTTTCAGCCGCACCACGAAGGCTTAGGGAAAACCATGGTAGACTCTTTATCGTCCTCTAGAATAATAGATCATCAAGGTAGAGTTTCAAATAACGAAGTCGGAGGAAGGATTGTGGCAGAGCAACAGCAAAGATTAGGAGATCAGCAAAGATTGGCGAGGCAAAATCATGAACGAGAACGATTTGCTCAAGAGCAAAGATTTCAGGTATGGATTTTATAAATTTGTCAGGTATCGATCGATATTTAATTTAATTTAATTTAAATTAATTAAAATACATTTTTTTTTTTTTATTTTCAGGCGGCGGCGAGAGAAAGAGAACAAATGCAAATGCAGCAACAGCTTCAAATGCAAAGGCAGCAGGCTAGAATGGAATACGAAAGTCGACAGCAGAGACTTGAGCGTGAGTTTAACACTGCAAAACCGCCATTTTATTTTTACGTCATCAATTAATTTTTACGTACTTTTAATTCTTTCCAGAACAAGCTCGAATAGATTACGAGAATAAATCTAGAATGGAGCAGATTCGTAATGAAAACGCTCGATTGGAACAACAGCAACAACAGCAACAAACGAGATTAGATTACGAAAAGCAAAGACACCAACATCATTTAGCCGCTTTTATGTGAGTTTTGATTTAATTTTTTTTTTTTTCAAGTAAGAATTTTAACTTGAAATCATGATTTTATTAAAATTTTAGTGATGCTCAACAAAGGGCTTCATCCGAAAGAGAAAGAGAGGAAAGAGATAGAGAACGTGAAAGGGAAAGAGATAGGGAAGCGACTAGAATTTTAGTAGGTGGTTTCCAAAGAGATAGAATTTCTAGACCCAATAATGATTCTCCATCCCACACTCGGTAATTTTTAAATTTAATCAATGTCCTCGATGGTTTATTTTCCACAACAAGAGATTCATTTTTTTTTTTTTTTTTCTGTTTTCCCCTTGCTTCAAATCAGTCCATCAAATGCTGGCAGTCAATCTAGTAGAGGTGATGATTCAACAATGACGGCAGCCAGTCTTATTGATGCTATTATAACTCATCAAATCAATCAGAGTAGTTCGGATAGTGGAAATCCAAATTCGCAAAGTCAAACGTCGACGAGGCCCGGGGATCGTTTGTTTCAGGTAATGCCAAAAAAAATATGAAAGTAAATTTTTTCCCTTAATTTTTTTTTTTTTAATTTAATTCAAAATAAATCCAAAATAGGGATTTCATCGAGATGGTCCATCTCAACACGTCGAAACAAACGGTAAAGTGTCTCCGATGAAAAGAGTTCCAAGTCCTGCCGAACGAGAACCTTCGGGAAAACCACTGACGTTAGGAGAACACATTGAATCGATAATTACAAAAGATTTCACGAGAAGTTCTTATCCTCTTCAATATCACGTTCCTTCCGAAGGTACATGATCGGTATCGGATATACATAATAAGTTGGGATCATTTAGAATTTTTTTATTAAAGGTATTTTTAAAATTTTCAACTTTCAGGGATACCGATAGCTGATCAACACAATTGGAAGCTGAGAAGGTCTGGAGTGCCGCCGAAAGAAAGCGAACCTCCTCGGGAAAATCCTCCGGATAAGGGAGACGAAAGGCAAATTATAAGAATAGCTCAGTCTCAAGCGGGAGCTAGCAAACCCTTTCACGAACCCGTTTCACCTCCCGAACAATGGGGTGGAAGGTAATTTTCTGAATGAACGCCAATCATCAATCATTTATTTACCAAATCGATTTTTCTAATCTTTTTTTTTTTTTTGTACGTACAGGTACTATCCGGACAAACCATCTCATTTGTCTCCTTTAGATTACGTGAAAAATAGAATAGTGGAAGTGATGAGAACGTCGGAGGATAAAGAAAGCGAGGAAAAAACGTCGGGAGTCGGAGTCGGGACCATGGGAAAGGATAGAAGCGACAGTCCCGGAGATATGGTCATTGACGAAGCCAAGCAGGACGACATAAACAAATTAGTTGTGTACAATACGTCATCGGTAACGGTATCATCGAGTTCTTCTTCATCTTCTTCTTCTTCTCCTTTCGTACCGCCCACGTCTTCAACATACGCTTATCCCTTTTCGGCTTTGTCGGTTCACGCGATGACGGCGGCAAGCGCGAAAAGTCCGACGCCATCGAAACCCGTCGTGTCAACTCCGACGACCGTCAACAAAGATGATAACACTTCGCAAAGAAGTTCGGAACCTGCTCCCCTTTTATCGGCACAATATGAACCCCTCAGCGACGAAGATTGAAAAAAAAAAAACTAAAGAAAGAAATTGAATGAGTTTTTTTTTGTTTGTTTTCGTTTTTTTTTTATTTTGAAAACGGATCAATCGTGCTTTTTTCTACTTACTTATTATTATTATTATTATTATTGCATTTGAGTTTTTTTTTTTCTTTTTTCTTATTTATATATATATATATATATGTACAATTAAAGTGAACAATTAATTTGTTAATAATTATTTTTAAAAAAACCGGGAAAAAACAAATGTATAGAGAAAAAAGAAAATGGAAAATGGTGGTGAGGGAGTGTGTCTATGTCTGTTGGTGTAGTAATTGCTTAAAAATAGAAAAAGAAAAGAGAAAGAAAGGAAACAATAATAATAATAATTTTTTTTTTTTTTTTTTTTTTTTTTAAACGTAAAATTTGCAATATTTTATTTGTTTTAGGCTGCCGGTTGAAATGATAACATTATTCAAAGCTTGAAGCATCATATTGAATCGAAAATAACAAATTATTATCATTATTATTATTATTATTATCATTATTATTACTATCATAATCATTATTATTATTACGGAAAATGCTCTTATTACAATGAGAGTATGAAAGATAAATTACAAAAACAAAAAAATGAAATAATTTACATTTTTTTCAAAATCGATTGTCAAAATTTTCATTTCAAAATTAATAATAATAATAATAAATAATTAATAATAATAATAATAATAATAATTAATAATAGAATTTTAAATGAAATAATCATGTCGGGTTAATCCGATCCGATTTTTTCCCCTTCGTTTTTCGTTGTCGTCGTCGTCGTTGTCATATCAATTTCATTGTACCACTCTCCTCTGTGCTCTCTGTTCTGTGCTGTTGCTGTTGCCGTTGGTGTTTTACCACTAAAAAATAATCATAACGCATTGGGAAATTTATGTATTTTTTATTTTTATTTTTTTCTGAACAATCAGATAGATATTGGGGGCAGTCGGTCGTCTCATTTTTATGTAATTTGAGCAAAATAAAATTGCAGGGGGGGGGGGGAAAATTTTTAAATTCAACAAATTTCAACGTGAAAGAGAAAAGAAAAACCTCTTTTATTATTATTATTATTATTATTTTTTTTTTTCGTCTGTCCGTTTACAACGATATATTTTAGTGGTTTTTTATTTTTCTATATTGTTTATTATCATTATCATTATTATTATTATTTTTTTTTTTTATAGAATTTTTCTTAAGGAAAAAACATGGGGTCGAACCTTTGAGGAGGGGGGAGGAGGAGGGTGGAAAAAATGCGATTTATTTAAATTTTTTTTCCTCTTTTTTCCAGAATCGCGTCTATTACAGGTTTTTATTATTATTATTACTAATTATTACTAATTATTATTATTATTATTACCATTACTATTATTACTATTATTATTATTGTTATTAATAATTTTTTTTTTTTTTTCAATCGGAAAGGTGTTGCAGATTTATTTGTGTCTAATTTTTTTTTTTTTTTTGAAATATTGGTAAATTAAATTTTTAATTATTATTATTATTATTATTAATTATTATTATTATTATTATTATTACTATTTTTTTTAAATTTTATTTTATCGATTGTGTAAATAATAATAATATTGACTTTAGGTGGAAAAAAATAATAAAAATAATAAAAAATTTTAAATATTAAAAAAAAAAAAAAAAATTTTTTTTTCGATTGATATAACCATCACTACGATGATGATGATGATGATGATGATGATGATGATGATGATGATGACGATGATGATGATGATAATGATAATATTAATAGTGACATAATTAAAAATGATAACGATTACGTCGATCGTAACGACGATGATGATGATTATGATGATGATGATGATAATGAATATAGTATTTGTTTTATTTTCTATTAATATTATTATTATTATTATTGTTGTTGTTTTACGTCAAATCCGTTTTTTTGAATTAGTTTTCTTTTATTATTATCATTATTAAATTTGTGGAAAATCGATAATTGCAGTGAGGGGAGGGGAACGACAGCCTATATTTTATTAAATAAAATTTAATTTTATCATTATTATTATTTCAAAGGAGGAGGAGGATGTGTAGAGGGGAGGAGGAGGGAGGGGTGGGCGGGACAATAAATAAATAATATTATTTTAACGATGGGAAATAAAATTTTCTAGAAAAAAAAAAAAAACTTTAATAATTATTTATTTATTTATTTACGATTTGAAAGAAAATAGCTCACTCACTCACTCACCAATAATAATAATAATAATAATAATAATAATAATAATTGCAAAGAAAAAATATTAATAGATAATAATTTAAATAAATAAATAAATAAATAAAACAAATTGGAAAAAAAAAAAAAACTTTTCATCTTCAGTGAAATTTATAAGTATATATAAATACGAATAACAAATAAATAATTTATGTACATATTAATTATTATCATTATTATTATTATTATTATCACTACTGATAACGTGCGCGTGCTGATATACACGCATTAATCTTAAACAAATAATATATATGAATTACGTTCGTCCTTTTTTATGTGATATACATTCAAAGGAAATGAATGAATGAATGAATGAATGAATGATTTTTCTTTTTAATTACGGACGAAAAATCGATTTCGAAATGAGAAAGAGAAATAAAGGAATACTAAGAAGGGACTGGAAAGAGAGATAGAGGGGGAGGAGGGAAAAAGGGGAGGAGCAAGTTTAAAAAATTATTTTTTTTCAAACTCCACCCCCACCCCACCTCCTACCCTCCTTCTTTAACGGTTTTTTCAACGTGTCCACCATCTCTTTTTCTTTACGTGACGTAATGAAATAATGATAATAATAATAATGATAATAATAATGATAATTTTTTTTTTTTTTTTTCGATTATAATCTATCTTATATATTTCCGCCCAAAATTTTTATTAATAATTATGTACATTATTAATAATATATATATATATTAAAAAAAAAATTGTACATAGAATATATATATATAAATAGGGTTTTTTTTTTTTTAAATTATGTTTAATAAGTGCAGCCGTAATGATGATGATAATAATAATAACAACAACGGGGATGATGATAATAATAATAATAATAATAATAATAATAATAATAGTAATAATGATGATGATGAAAAATCCAATGAGGAAAAAAAAATTGACACAATTAAAAACTAGTCGAAATAAATAATTAAATTTTTTTTTTTTTAAACAAACAAACAAACAGAAACATTATTATTATTATTATTATTATTATTATTATTATTATTATTATTATTTATTAATTTATGTATTTTATCGATCGATCGATCGATGGATCGATTTATTGTTTTTTGTGTTGGAAAAAAAAAAAAAAAAAAAAAAAAAATTAAAATGAAATTTTTTTTTTTTTTTAAATGTTTGATATTTTCCTAATGATAATAATGATGATGATAATAATGATAATGATAATAATAATGCCCCGGCTGCACTGGTTATTTAAAAATTAAATTTTTTTTTTATAAAAATACGAGAAATAAAATAATAAAAAAAAAAAAAAAAATGTCAAGTGTATAAAAATATAATATTGTTGTGTAAATGTGTTGTAAACATTTTTTTTTTTTTTTTTAAAGTGCCCGAAATATTTTGTTGTATGATTATGAAAAAAACATAAAACATAAAACATAAACGTTTGTTTTATTAATTCACGATGATAATGATGATGGATTTAATTTTTTTTTTTTTTTTTCTATGTATACCAAAGGGGATTTTTTTTTATTTATTTAAAATCCTTTAAAATTTTACACACATATATTTTTTCCCAGGGCACGTTTTTTATGTATATATATATAAATAAATTAATTAATTAATAAAATGAAATTTAATAAAAATAAATTAATTAATAAATTTTTAATTATTATTAAAAAATTTGACCGGAATAATGAAATCGTATGGGAAAATTTATTATTATTATTATTATTATTATTTTGTGTGTGTGTGTGTATGTGTACGTCATTCCAAGGATTCATAATTTCTGCTTTTTTTATGTTTGTTCGTTTGTTTGTTTGTTTGTTTTAATTTTTTTTTTTTTTTTTTTTTTTGTATTAAAAATACGCATTTACGTAGTTTTCAACGTAAATTAACGTACGCAATGCGTTCATACGCATGTGATGAATGAACATTTAAAAAAAAAAGCAGAAAAGAAAATTTTTTGTATTATATATAAATAAATAGGAGGTTCGATGCTTTTATAAAGCTCATTAATTAATTAATTAATTAATAAATCCAAAAAAAAATAAAGTAAATAAAAAAAAAAAAAAAATTTGTATGTAGCTTTAAAAAAATTATTTAATAATAATAATAATAATAATAATAATAACATGGAACTGATGAGAGTAACCTTTGCAAATTATTATTATTATTATTATGTTTAAAATGAAGGAGTGATTGAAAAGAAAATGGAAAAAGAGGGAAAAAAAAAAGGAAAAGTCTGTGGCTGCTGAACTTATTTATATAAACAATATCTGCCCTTTTTATTGTAATAAAAAATTTAATTATTATTATTATTATTATTATATTAATTTTATGTATTTTTTTTTTTTTTTTTTAATGGTAATTTAACTGGGTTTGGGATCTTTTTTTTTTTTTTTTATGTTTAAATAACAACAACAAAAACTCAGGTCAGATTAATAATAATTATGTATAATAATTTTTTATTTTTATTTTTTATTTTGTGTCCTTAATAATTATGTATGTATAAAAATTTATGATGATGATGATGATGATTAAGATGATGAAATTTAATATTAAATTAATTTTTTTTTTTTTTTTTTTTTTTTTACCGTGTTACTATTACTTTTAATAATACTGCTATTATTATTATTATTATTATTATTATTATAAATAACATTTTTTTTTTATTAATTAATAAATAAATAAATGGAATAAAAAAAAAAAAAATGGTGAAAAAGCATTTAGTCGTCTGTCTTTCATAATATTTAAATATTATATACGGAAATGATGACACGAAATAAATAAATAAATAAATAATTAAATATCATTTAAATAGATTTTAATAATAATAATAATAATAATAATAATAATTTTCTTTTTTTTTAAATAAATGTATTTTGTTTTTCAGATCCCCCCTTAAGAATCCTCCCCCCCTTGAATTGATGAAGGTAAAATTTGTAAATTAAAAAAAAAAAAAAAAATATAAAACGACACGTTCGGATTATGTACATAATTTGTGAATTAAATAAATAAATAAATAAATAGTTAATAAAAGCTCACGATTTATATAAAATATGTTAATTAGTATGTTGTTTAGTTAATTTTTGTTTTCTTTTTTTTTTTTTTATTAATTAATTAATTTTGAAATAAGTTTTTTTTTTCTTTTTTTATTTATTTATTTATTATTTTTATGTTTATTGTTATCAATAAACTGATAGTAAATTTTGAAAAAAAAAAAAGTGAAAAGTGAATAAATAACAACAACAACATATAATAAATGTATGATTTTTAATAAAGGGTAATTATTAATTAAAATTAAATTTAAATTTTTCTTTTGTAACGATTAATAAACGGTTTATAAATCATGAATAAAATTTCTTTTAATTTTTTTCGAACTTCTTTCAGCTGGTCTAACTTGAAGATTTTTACCAAAAAATTTAAATTTGTAATCGTTTAAAATGAATGTAAATGTACTCGAAGGTTTTGGTACAGCTGAAAATAAAATTTAAATGATAATTTTTTTTTTTTTAATTTCGATAATGTTTAAAAATTCATCGGTACATAATTGTAAATTTTCTTACTTCTAACAATGTTATCTTTTCCTAATAATTTAAATGTGTTTTTAGTTTCCATGGCAACAATTCCACTTATGCCAACAAGGCTATAACATTTTGATCTAATGACAGTCATTTGTGCTCCATGAAAATCTGCTCTGAATAGTTTTTGATTGACAGTTTCAAAATTAGGATCATGAGGATTGTTTTTGTAACTGAAAACAAATGTTTTTGTTTTGTCGGAACACTACAATTAAAGGTAAATTTAATTTATCTATCTATATATATATATTGGCAGGTAGTCTTACTTTTGTTCATTTAATTCTTCCAAATTTAAATAATCATTCATGTATTCTTTCCATAATTCATTCAGGGGTAACAGCTCATCATATTTTAAACTGTTTTTATCTAACGAATACAATCCTAATTTTTTTCTAGCTTTGTACGTTAATTTTTTTGCCGATAATCCTTTATTTAATTTGATTTTTTTTTTATCCGATTGTTTTTCCAATATCAAAAAACTTTTTCTAAAATTATCTATGTCTTCTGATGCTATGTTAAAAAATCGACTTGAAAATTTATTAAATAGTTCTTCTCTTTCATCAGGGCTATAATTTAAATTTTTTAAAATTCTACTCTTTACAAATTGCGGAAGTTTTTCTATAAAGAAAAGAAAAATAATAATAATAATTAAAATAAAAAATAAAAAAAAAAAACAAGGTAAACAAAATTATTTTTATGAATTCTAACCCTACTTGGTTAAAATATCTAATTTAATTTTTCTTTTTTTTAAATCAATCGCGTAATTTAATTTTATTTAAAAGAAAAATTTTTTTTTTAATACAAACTAAAAATAAAATTGGTAAATAGATTTTAAGAACATTTTACCTGTTTGATATGACATTTTGTCAAATAATAATTTATAATATTATTATTATTATTTTATGTTTCGTCGAATAGCATATTAGTATTCGGTGTGTTTTAATGACGTTAGGTGATGTCAAAAACTTTTTAAAAGATTTTTATTTTTTATTTTTTATTAATAATTTATTTAATTGATGAATATAAATTTATTTTAGTTTAATAATAAGTTTATACTTTCAATAAATATCGGTAATTATTTTTTAATAATTTAATTTAAAAATATTTAATTACAATGAAAATTTTAATAATTCAATATAAATTTTATTTTTTTTTTTTTGTGGGGGTAAATTAAGTAAATTTATAAATTAAAGTAATTTAATTTCAATTAATAAAATAAAGGGATAAAATTTAATAAGATCAAATAAAAAATAACGTTAATAAATAATTTTTTTATTATTATTATTTTTTTCATAATTAATAATTTTTTTTACACATTTATTAAATATAAACTCACATCAGTCAAAATTATCAGTCGTGGTTTGCGTCAATTTTACAATAACAAAATAAATTTATAACAATATATTTATTAAATTAAATGATGAAAAAAAAAAAAAAAAAATTTATGAATTTTTACATCTTATAAAAACTTATGATTTGACATAAGTTATAAATTTATAAATTAATATAATTATTCATAATAATTTTTTTTTCTCTGTCATTCGATCATCATAAAACAATCCCAAAAAAAAAAAAAAAATTAATTAATAAGTCTTTCATAGAATTTTTTAATTAATTGATAAATCACAAATTATAAAAAAATATATAAAAGAAAAAAAAAAAAAATCCATTTACAATAATTTTATGTACAATATAATTAATTTAATTAAGTGTTTTCGATTTAAAATTTATTTTCACTAAGTTCAATATTATTATTTACTATTATGATAACATTTAAAAGTAATATGATTTTTATATAATTAATATTATTATTTATATTTCCTTTGAAAAAAGTACCTCATTATCATAAAAAAAAAAAAAAAAAATTTAAATTCAATTTTAATTAAATTGTGATGTTATTCAGGTACTCAAATTGTTCTTTACGTATTTATAACAATTTTATATTATTATGAGATTATAATTTTTCATAAATATTTTTTTTGTTTGTGTGTATTAAAGCTCAATAATTTAACTAGCAACAATGAGACACAACTTACATTAAATACATGGCAGCTTGATTTTTTTTTTTTTTTCCCAAGCAAATTGTTTAATTTTTTATAAAATTCTTTAAAAAAATTCATTACATATAATGTGTATTGTACTCGATACGTTGATAAGGTTTTTCTTTTTTTTCGAATTGCAGAAATAAATATATGTATATATAAGTCTTGAGTTTTTTTTTGAGATACAATAAAAAAATATGTGTAAATTCTTTTTTTTTACTAATTAAATAATGGTAAATGATAAAAATAATATCCTCTTTTTCCTTTCACAGCGAAATAAATGTAAACAACATGATATGCACCGGGAACGAAACATATAAAGCCGGCTATAAAAAACACTAAACCCTGTAACCATGATGTGGTGGTCGCAAGTGCTATGCCTACCAAAAACAGA